AGCATTTCTTAGCGCAGCGCTGCCATAAAAAAACCTTCTAGGCAAGGAGACTGTTGGTGGGGGAACAGGGACACATCTGTAGTGTCCAGTTGCACAGCACTCCTGCAGTGAACATAGTACCAGAGCCATTGCTGCAGGCAGGTCTGACCATCTCTTCCACACCGCTGGGTTCATTTTGGTGCACTGGGGCAGAAGCGTTCATGCAGTGCTCCCGTGGATTTGGTTATCCCAGCACGTGCTGTTCTGAGATATTACTGAGACTTTGGCCTTGTGCTTGGGACTCTTGGATGTCCTGTGACCAGAGCAGAATTAGGTAAGCCCTCAATTCACACATGGTTTAGTTGTAAGTGCAGACCGGGCACCAGGTTAGGGCCCCAAGCAATAAATGATTATGCAGAAGTAACGTGTTTTCATCAGTTTTAATTGTATGGCTTCTTTGTTCTCAAGTGGCTTGCCTTATGGCGGGAGTGTTAGACTTCATTTCCTCCCTACTGCTGATAAGGTGGGGCAGGCTCTCCGTGACTTCTTATCTGCTTAATTTTCTGCCCATTTCTGTCCTTCATTTCCAGATGGAAATTTCAGTATTGAACAGGGAGGAGTTTAAGGCATCGAGTGTCCTGTCCTTCCTGCTTTCTATGAGACAGCCCTCCTTTTGTCCCCTGCAGAGGAGCACCCGCTCTCTGGCTGGTGCTTGCCATGAGGACAGACGGGTTGTTGCTATTTGCACTAAAGCACTTCATTAACTGTAACCGGAGGGACCTGGACAGGCTGGAGAGGTGGGCCCGTGCAAACCTCATGAAGTTCAACAAGGCCAAGTGCAAGGTCCTGCACCTGGGTCGGGGCAATCCCAAGCAGGTTCGAGACCAGCCCTGGGGACAAGGACTTGGGGGTGCTGGTGGATGAACAACTGAATATGAGCCAGCAGCGTGGGCTGGCAGCCCAAAAAGCCAATCGCATCCTGGGCTGCATCACAGGCAGTGTGGCCAACAGGTCGAGGGAGGGGATTCTGCCCCTCTATTCCACTTTGGTGAGACCCCACCTGCAGTGCTGCGCCCAGCTCTGGGGCCCCCAGCACAAGAAAAGACGGGGACCTGCTCGAGCAGATCCAGAGAAGACCATGAAGGTGATGAGGGGGCTGAGACCCTGGCTGTTGAGATTTTGGGAATGTGCGAGTTATAAGCAACATTGAATTTGACCCACGATGGGTCCAAGCTTGCCTTCCTAAATTTAACTATTTTTGTTAGTTGTACACAGATTGATTGTTTTACCTTGATGCAGTACTTGCAGAGCTGTAATTACAAGTGACTGCTTACAGCATTGCTAGTTTTGGAGAGCAACGTGTGCGTGTTTTTGTTGTGAGTAATAAAATGGAAAAGCCAATTTGCAATTGCAAAGCAAGCCCGGGAGTGATACATGATCTTCATAGCGGCACCGGTCAGAGGGTTGCGGCTAATCATGGTGCTGGCTTGCTTCCCCGGTGGCCTGTGCCTGAAGACTGAATAGTGAGCAGTGTGAGCCTGTGCCTTGGGCCAGCATAGATTTAGACACACCAGTTTCTAGCTTATTAGGTCCTCTTTGTCACAGTACTTAATCCTGCTTCCTGATCCTTGTTAGAACAGAGCTGCCGAGTCCCTTAATAAAGGAGATGGGCGCGAGGCTCCTAACGAGGCGCGCTGAAGCGTGGGGCAGTGAGGGCGATTGCCACCTGACTGACAGAGGGGTGACGGGCTCCCTGCCTGCGGCTGTGTCAAAAGAACAGGCCTCAGACAGCTGACAGATGGGCTTGCTAAGGTAATGGCAACTTGTTGATAGGCCGATATGAGATGCATGACATCTTTTCACACAGTATAGTGGTCTGTCTTTAATTGTGTTAACCCTTCTTATGGACAGAAACACGTCAGGGATTAGCTGTAGTGTAGAACATGCAACCGAAACAGCCAGCAAGCACACGGCTTGCAGCAGCCCCCGTAGCCTGCACATGTGTTCGTGCAGCTAACACAAGTGCCTTTAATTTTGAAAAGCTAGCACATCAGCTTGATTTCACATTTCTCTGACAGCTTGGCTCAGTCAGTCTTGTAGGTCCCATAGTTACAGATTTTTATTTTTCTTATTTGTTACTTTAGATTTCTGGGGGCAGGGTGGACCTCTCTTCACCATAAAATTCACAGAAATAAATATAAAATGTAGCACAGATTTCTTAATTTAAAGAACATAAGTAAATACTTCAATGGCTAGACCATCCTGGAATTCAGCCTGTTGTATCTATAGTCATGAGGAGTTTCAGCAGAGAATGTGCTTTCTGGTTTTGGATGGTAAACATTTACAAAACAAACAAACAAACAAAAAGCCCAAGCAAACCACTGTAAGGTCTTTTAAGTCTTCCTGTCAACAGAATAGATGAAACTGGCATGTTGCAAGAATGGTGTTTTTGTTTGTTTTTCTCAGTATAGAGAACTATAACCATGGGTCAGTGATAGGATCTCTGAACAAACAGTGTGTTGGGCACTGGGAAGGCAAAAAGCCCATTGGGCATTGCTTGTTGATGTTGTGCTTGGAGCAGTGATCAGCATGCTTTGCAGTGCCGAGCTTCAGCAGAGCAAACTACCACAGCATCATTCTGCTTTCATTCCTGCAAGCCATGGTGGAGAGGAATATTTCACTGAATTGTCCCATAAGTCTGAAAATTGTGTTTAATGGTTGAGTTATGAAAGACTTTTAACGCTGCAGCAGAGGAATAGGTTTGGAGTTAAGAACTGGGAAGCTCCAAGGTCTACTGCTGTTGTTCTGCCTGTGCTGAGTGAATTTATTCACCTGCAGAAAGACACCCCAACACCTATGCACTATTAAGCCCTGCTCAAAACTAATTTGATTAATAAAATATTATATGCAACGGGCTGAGTTCAGTCCTACTGTACAATATGTAGTAGCACTGAAATGCTGCTGAAATGAATAGGATGGAACTGCATCCATCATGGTGGGAACTACTGTGTCCTCCTATTCCTCTCTGCTAAGAGTGACGTATTTGCTTTTGTTATGGTTGTACTCTCTGAAACAAATGAAAAGTTTTACGTGCATGGCAAGATTTCTTTCAAATTTTTCATATTTCAATTTTTTTTCATACACTGTTTTGTTTAATCCCTTGCAGGTAATTTGGATTTGACTGGTCAAAAGCAAGTCTTCAAAGCAGAGAACAATCCTTGGGTTACCCCTATTGCTGACCAGTTCCAGCTGGGAGTATCTCATGTTTTTGAATACATTCGTTCAGAAACATATAAATAGTAAGTACATACTGTAGCTATGTTGGGGTTTTTTCCTGTGGTGTGTTTGACAAAGTGTTACTGGCTATACCCTTCTTTCATAATCTGTGCAGTATCTTGGTATTCGAGGCAAATATGGAATCCTGTACTTTTATATTAAGGAATTTTGCTGACATGAAGGTAAATAAATGTGATTTAGACGTGTTAGGGAAGCACAAAGACTGTTCAATATTGTCCTGCATTTGTTGTTCATTTCTAAGAGCTTTTAAGTAACATGAGAGATGTAAAAGAGCAAACATTAAAAGCCTTTGAGAAGTACTGATTTTAAGTATGTACAGTAAGGTTTGAAATAGATATTTCATAATGGTTTTGGATGCAGGTGGTTATGTTTTGAAAGAGATGTCCAGAATTCAAACTTGTTTTGATCTGGACTGGTTTACAAAAGTCTACGACCCTGGTAATTCAAATACAGATACCAATGCTTTCTTCAACAGCGTAACTGGAAAAAAATAAACCACATCCTGGGACTTCTCCGTTTTATTTCAAAATTCTATGTACAAATGCTGAGCATTTGTTTAGGAAATAATGTCTTTAATCATTCACTGAATTGGAATATTTATTTTCAGTAAAAATTTCCATGTTACCGGTCCACAGTAAAACTTTACATGGGAAGTTATTTTTACATGTGTGACAACAAGCTTGGTGCTGTCTTCCTAGAAGCAATAGGTATAGTACAACACACGGTACAACCTCTAGGTTGGAAAGTTAGTTTTTGCATTTCCCCTTTATTTAAAAATGTATATTTTAATAATTTAGAAGCATTTCTGACAATTTATTTTATATGGTAGCTGTCTGAACTCAGTTACCAAAGGAGATTATTCACAAGTAAAGGTTTGGGGATTCCAGTTAAGTAACTGAGATGTAAATTTCTATAGGAAACTAAATGATCCATCAGTGGCTTTTGTAGGCTGTTCTTCATTTACAGAATTTAAGTAAAAAGGATCACAGATGGGAGAGTGGTTTCAAAAATTGTGTGTCTCAGAAGTGTCCTGATATTTATGCTGTAATGTGTGTTTTCAAGATAGATTTATTCATAGATTTAAGTAGGCTGCAACACCCTTTTTCCAGTAGTACTCTGTACTACAGACATGGCGTAGGGAAATAGCTGTCTATCTCCTTAGACCATCACTTCCCCAAGTCCATTGTGTAGCTGCATCTAGATTTCTTGATACATTTCTGTAATATTTTTATTGCCAATTTGATATTTCTGTTTGAGCAATGTGGACTAGGGACCCTCATGCAGTTCTCACAGGGACAATGCTGGGCGTCACGAAGACAGCAAAGTTTCAAGGACTGAAGTGCAGTTTTGAGAATTTGGCTGATGTTCAGTCGGGGGAGGGGCAGTGCTGTTATTAGGTATCTATAATAACAAAAACAGTGACAAAAATGTTATAACTGTGGATATATTAAACTGCTCTGGCAACTTACCTTGTGCAATCAAAACTGAGACAAAAGGTTCTGTAATTCATCACTTGCCTCAGCTATTGCTCTTTGATTTAAATTAGCCATATTATGTTTGCTGTCTTGTTCTTTGCTGAGGTGTAACAGTGTTTTATTGGCTAATGGGCTGATTTTGATTTTGTCCACAGTAAATACTTGAAGCCTGTATAGTTAACAGTGTAAGAAAAACAGACTCTACCATTAATAGGGAGAAAACTAAATCAAATAAACTTTCCATGGCTCATTTATTTTGATCTTAGAAGCTTATTCAGTTAAAATGTCATTATTTTCAAAGATTAGTGATGAAAACCAGATGCATGCAGATGTTAATAATTAGATGCCTTTTTCATATTCAGTATATAACCATTTTATATTTAAACCATAAATTAAAAATCTGTATAATTTTGTTAGCATCCCAGTAGCAACTTCTTTTGTTTCTTGATTGTACTTTTTCACATGCTACAAAGAGATCTTGTGGATTTTGCTGCTGAAAAAGATCGTCCTTTTAATTTCCAGTTTCCTTTAAATATGTGATCTGAGAATTACTTGGATGCCACCTGCTACAGACATTTTTCTGTTTGCATTTGATTTTAGGTGTTAAAACTCATAAGCAATGGCATAATCTAGGTAACAAGTGTAGTAGCATTATTGTGCACAAAAGCAAATAAGCTGTGAACACAGAAGAAATGAAAACTCCTTTTTGTGATGAAATTTTAATCTTTTCCTGCTAACAACTATACACCACTTTCAACTTCCTTTTCCTTTAGAGCCTGCGTCCAGGTACTGTGTCTTTTTTCTCATTAAGCAACCACAAGGTTGAGATGTGAATGTAGTAAGTTTCTCTGTAGATATCTAACTAAGCAAAATTGAGCTCTTGGGTTTTTTTTTTGGATCATTCAGCCGAAAGAAAAAATTAAAAATTAACTTGCAACGTTTGATAGACCCAGCCAGCTTATCTTTTACTGAGAGAAAGCAGTACAGTTAAATGGATGATTGGATAGGACGCTGTTTAGATAACCTCACTTGCAACACTGAGAAGAGAGAACAGCTCACATATGTTAGCAGCTGACAGTCCGATCAGGAAGTTTACTTTCAGGTACTTTCATAAACCAGGAACTATGCATCTTTATGGGAGATGAATTTTGAGCTCCAGAGATAGTAATTGTCTCCCTGTGCGCATTGCTTTTTCTGGCTGATTGGAAATATTGATTTTACTTTGTTTACAAATCTAACATTGTCTATACTAGCTAAGACAGAGAGAGTATGCTCATACAATCAGAAGTGCAAAGTTTCAGAGGCTTAGCACGTTGCGTCTCACTAAGTGAGTTTATGTGAATACAGTTTATTTTGTGTTCACAATGACTAGAACATCGTATTTACTCAGTTGCTGTTACCTCAGCCAGAAAGTGGTACCTCGGGAAGTCTTGGCAACACACTCACTTGCAGTCACATTACTAAACCTGGAGGTTTCTGCTGATGGCTGGCACAAGCCCTAACTGTACGCTGCAGTCGATATCGGAGGTTTCCATGCAGATTCTATGAGGTTGCACTTGTGAAGCAGCTACCAAATAGATCACAAACCTCTTCTTTGCTTTCTGAAATGTACTGGCTGTTTCAAGGATATTTAGTGAAAAATTACACCCTATTTTTAGCCTTGTTTTAGGATATTCGTACTCTAGTGATTAGTTGGTAAGTAGGGATGACACCTGTGAGGGATGATTGTGTCTAAAGATAAAATGTCATTTGTCTCACTTTTTTCACACCCCTGTTTTACATGGTACTCACGCACCAAGTATAAAACTGGAATTGCACTTTACTTCAGAAATGTGTTAGCCAGTGGGACCCTCAGATCAGCTCTTCCTACTTCGTAGCTTCTTTCATTTCCTTTAATTTCCCTACCTTTCATGAGGAATGATGCCAGGTGATTTTTTTCAACCCTCATTTTTCAAGGAAGGCTGGTTCTGACAAAAAGATGGGCCATATATTGTGGCAGAAAATGTGTGTGGAGGGGCTCTTAATTCTTAACAGGAAATTCAGCAGCTCTTGGCACTTTGCTAGCTTTTGTTGGCTAAAATACACCCATTGCACATATCATCCTGTGACAGCATCATTTGGAAATAGGTCAGTTTGCCAAGTATATAATGATTCTTAATCTCTAACTGCCATGCTAACTTTCTGAAAGTTAAGTTAGTAAGCTGAATTTTGGCTTTGATTCTGTATATACTCAGGAGCTGCCATTAAACTCCTGGTGTGGTGTCACGATAGTGTTGAAAAGCAATTGAAGAACTTGCTCAAATGGTAAAGGGTAATCATCTCCTCAAAGGGTTTAACTAAATGTTTTATTTTTTATTCATGCCTTTAGTCAACTTCCAAAGTGACCTTTATGTTGTAAGCATATTCTCAGAGGATCTTCTCTGTCTGGGGTACTGACAAAGAGGCGATGGATTGTATGATTTAGTGGTTACAATGTACTTAGACAAGTGCAGACAGACATGAATGTTTGAAAGAAAACAGTGAATCAAACTCCTATGAAGAAGCGGAAATCCTGTGATGCTCATCAGGATCAGTGTATGATAATTAGTGATTTGATTAAGATGAGGTAGAGCTGGCATGTGCAATTGGTACCAGTGGGTGGGTTTGGTTGCTGGCATTTACAGCAAAGTTAATCCAGAAAGCTGATCTTTGGGTACATTTCTGGCATTAATCATGTGCTTTTGATCAGTCTTCATGTGAAACTTGCTCTTTGCCTGTTTTTTCTTGTGACAGAAAGGGTAGTGGTTTTGCTTTTGTCATAGCAGAGTCTATTGCAGTCATCATCACCTGATAGTGTAATCTGAGGTAAACCGAAATAATTTGCCAGGTCTTGAGTGCTTAGAATAACATTCAGACTTCTGGCATTTTTAAGCTGCCTTTGAACCCAACAATCACCTTTTAATACATTTATTTAATGACTGTTGTCTTCCTGTTTGACTTCCTTATCCTTATTGCAGGGAGGCAGAATTATGATAGAACCATCACCGTTTGTTCAGTTTCTAGAAAGCAGGTTTTCCCACGAGGCAGTCAGTTTGGAGTCAAGAATCTCAACAAGATGTTTTGCAAAGGGAAGTAAGTTGCACTTTTCACATTTCCATCAGGAAAGGTGATAGAGGAGCAAGCCATTTTAAAGACTGACACATTAACTTTTAGCAGAGGAAATGGTTTGACAAATGCTGCGCTGAGCATATATAGCTTGGCAGCATTGGAATATGGGTTTCCCTGGGCAGGTTGCTCTGTGCTAAGCATTGTAATTGAAAGCCTCGTTTTATCAGCAGTGCCAGTCTGGAAAAATCCACTCTTGATTCGGTCCTCTATTTAGAGACAATCTCCCCAGCTTTGTTATTGAGAATGAATTGTTATGCTGGACCCCCACTATTATGTAGCAGCTACTTCCAGAGCAGCAGACACAGGTCATGAAGAGATTCTTCTTCTGGGTTATATTAATGAAGACTATTTCAGCAATTATTTTTACCAGTCAGAGGAGA